AGTGAGGAACCTGTATACAAAAGTAGTAAGAGGAAACAAGCTTCAGTATCAGATAAAGATTTTCGACAAATTTGTCTCCGATCCAAAAACCTTACTCCGCCATGAAGCCTCCCTTGGACAAGCAGAAACTGGAGTTTCCCAACTGCTAGTTCCTAATGGCCTAACCATCAATGCCGTTGACGCTGCCGACCTTCTAATAGAACGGTACTTTCGGATATTTCAAAGGGCCCAAACTAACAATATCGATGAAAACTTCACCTTCAACTCAACGGGACTCTCAGAAGTGAACCTGAGCACTAAATTGGTGTACTGAAGACCGCAGCTTCTGAAAAAGACACTTCAATAGACTCTTATATGGTTCATCCTTGGCATTACCAAGGTACATTAACAGAAAATTGGAATTTGGTTCACATCACACTAATTTTCAAAAGAGGCCGACTCAGAGAACCTTCAGTCTACCATCTGGTAGTACTTCTCTCTATACCTTCAAACATCATGAAGATCCTGATATGTGACGGTCTACTCGACTACTTACTATCCATAAACCACTTTCCAACCTATGGTTTCATTGTACATGGCCTCTCCACTCGATTTTATCAGTGCTATCAGGTTAGACAGCTATTCGGATATTCATATGTAGCCGTAAAGAAACCTGAGAATAAATGATTCTGTGAGTCTTCGGCATCACCACTGACCTCATTACTTTTACTGGACACATCTAGCTGAAAGCGGTCGGTCATTCATTCCCACCAGATCACAAGTAAGTATGCCGTGCAATATATCCCTTGTAACTGTCAGTCAGGCTAGATCAAACACATCTCGACATATCGATGGCTTTCCAAATATATCTTCTAACTCCTTCATTCATGACTCCTGATTTGACTGGATTGATGTGCTCTGATTATAAAGGTGCTACGGACAAAAGTGTTGTCAAACAAAAGTGTTGCCAGTGGTGAGACCGGAGTGACCTGGAACGCCAAGTGAGAAACTGAAAGTCCTCTCTTTGTTATAACATTAAAATTATTTTTAATTTTCATGATTTGCGATACTACTTTTGGCATTATTGGATTAATTTTTACCCGTTTATATATTTTATCCCGAAAATGTTGGGACAAACACTGAGATTCTTACACCCCCGTATCTTTCAATATATAATTTTGTTGTCTGATTATATTTTCCTTGAAAAGGCTTAGACTAGATTGCCAGGCGAAACGTTGGATTTACTTCAATTTTTTTCGCTGAGATCATACAAATACATTCTTACTCTTTAATGTCTCACATTAACTTGGCGCCCAAATATTGTGAAACTATTCGTTCAAATTTAGGCGAAAGTTATTACTTCTTGTTCGATTTATTGTTGATATTGATATCATCTTTGGTGTAAGTTGTAAATTCAATGAACGTTTATGCCGATATGCTGCCCGTATGATTTGATTCTCAATGGCATCTGTATTAGTAGACTAAGTGAATGATCAAAAATATAACCGTGGAGACGAATAATTCCTACTAGTGTTTCAGTCAGTTTGTCAAGTTTAATACGGTTTTTTTAGTTGTGGAGAAATTTTCTCAACCTCATTATTACTTAACTGTACATAAATGTTTAACACAAATACATCTAATACGTGAGAATAGTGATAATTATGTGAATTTCGGACAGATAGACACACGTATTTGTGGTGTTTGAATGTACTAATGATACCTTTTTACTTGTTGTATGCTTGATTTCGAATTCTAAATACAGTACATTCGTTCGTGTTTATCTAGTACTTCTTGATCCGATTACGATATTTTTGGGATTCTTAGTTCGTAATATGATTCAAATACTTCTAATTATCATAGTAACTCGTCAAACATGCGTAGACTCTAGAGAAACATCCTTCAAACTCAGTCTTCTTATTTGCAACAAACCAATTATTTATATTCATACATGCTGACCGATGGTGTGTACAAGTCAGCTGCATTAACCTTTTTTGGTGTTGGGGTAAATTCCGCAGTGATGTTATCATTTTGCAAGAGATTTCCTAGACTGCACATTATGGTGATTTGCATGTATGATTGTGTCACTAAAACTACAATGATACTGACAAAGTTTTAAGATAATTACTAACTGAACACGTGATAAACATACCGAAATAATCTATAACAGTTAAAGACATCTTTGAGACAACACCGATTATTGATGATTCAAAGTCAATTTGTCCACCGTGCGTGTGTTAATAATTTCATCAATTTTATCAACCATATTACGTGATTGTCAAGTCATCAGAATGCTTTATGACGATGTTGATTCGGAAATATCACAAATTTTTAGCATTAACGTATAAGAGCTGCCTGATTATGTCACAAATTGAGAATCTGAAATATTTAATAATAAGCTCCAGAGTTTTGATCTTGAACGTCTTCGTGACTAACAAAACCTGATATTTCAGTCAATATACCACAGCAATAAGATAATATCTTAATGGAGTGGCTTTATTATCTTGACTGTTAAGCATCTTTATAGGCAACTAATATGACAGCCCAATTTAGAGACCCGAATGCGCATAGCAACAACAACTATGATGGGTTTATTTGAAAATGTTAAAGGCTGTTCATGTCGATTCATTGTTAACGCGCTCACAAGTACCGACCTACTCTAAGCGGTAAACATTGAATGTCAATCTTCTCAGTAATTATATGTTCAGCTTCAAGAATCGTGTGGTTAAGAGCCAATACCACTACATTAGCCTCATTTTTTATCCTTATATTCATCGTAACATTAGGGTCCTCGAACCACTCTCAGAAGCTCGTCAAGAAAAAGATCCGTGTCAATATCACGAGAAGCAAATAATCTTGATCGGTTCTGGTACCACGATAGGTATGGGGAGTCTTCCAGAAATTGCAGAACACCCTACAGTTTCTCAATCTATAAACCATCTGTCACGAAAAACGCTTCGGGAAACTTTTTAGTGGACACGCAATAACGGCAACCGTAGCCAGCGAACATAACAACCTTTTATACATCACTGGTGAAATGACGAAAGTTCGTTGCCTTTTCGCAAACCCAATCACTGAATTTTCGTTGTTGCAGATGTTTCTATGTCAATTATTGTTATAGACCCGCAATAATACTGTAAACTATTCGACAACATGAGCAAACGAAGGTTAGTAGGCGTTATTGCTTAATTATCCTTTAGTGTGACATTTCCGGTTGTAGATAACCATCCAGTCACATTAACGCACATGAACTATTAATACTATAAGCAAATACTGGTCATGTATCACGATCTATATCAAATGCGACAGGAATTACCATGTGTAATCAGCTACGTTACACATCACATCATGACCACAGGACCAACTGTATTTCCAGAATTAGCATTCTGCAAAGTTCGGGAAATAAATCTAGACTTGCGAAAACTAGTAAATGAAATGTCGATTTGCTCAGTCCATGACTGAAAAACCAAAGCATATATCATGCAGATACAGCCATAAAAAATAAAATTATTCCACGGACTTCATTAAATTCATCAGCTAAACCACTTATGCTTCATAAAGGTTCACCACACTTTATCTTAAATAGCAATTGAAAAATTAGGTGTGATACAAATACATCCGCTTATTCAATAAAGTGAAATATCTAGACTTTACTTCTTTGAGAACGGTATTTCTTATTGAATTCTCGGATCGACATAAGTTAGACAATCATCGGAAACCTGGAAGCACTAGATGGCTGTGTCGTCCTGGTATGTAGGTTCTCAATAAGACATATTAATGACAGCTTCATGGCTTCAACAAAATTTAACCATCTCCACAACCACATACTGAAATTTATCATGCACCCATAAGTGCTTAGCTTCAATAAGACTGTCATATTTCTAGCTAGAAGCCGTGACCTATGAAACCAAACTGTGTCAGTCATGGAGAATGCACCTACCGAAGACAATGAAGATGATAGTTCACTATCATGAATTGAGGTTAGACTGCACATAGTTCAATCTCTGTGTTTGTGCACTGGGCAAGTCTTGCTTTCGATTCTTAATCTTGGAGTGGTAGACGCGTACTAGTGAGGAGTACCATGCTATGGAGAAGAGGCTGTACAGTGGTCCTTGGTTCCCAGTGGTGTTCTTATTCAGATCAGTATGTGATTATAATGAGATTCGAGCTCCGAAAAACCACACTAAAAACCGCATTTCTTACTTTAATATATTGTGTTTAAATGTCTCAAATACTATATTTGAATCTATCACACATTTTTTTCTAATTGTTCGGCTCACTCAGTATGAATTCGCCGTCATTCCAAAATTTGTTAATCTCCGATCAAAAGTAACTAGGAGTAGTAGCTCTTCTCAAAATCTTTCAGAAACTCAGTTAGGTAGAATCTAAATGATACAAACTGGAGGGATTGAACAATCCGAGTTTGAGTAAATCTGCTAGTATTCACAAGTATCGACTATACTGTCCAGTACACCTCAGTGCCTAAACGAAATTTTGGAGGTTCTATATGATGTACAAACCAGTTTTACACAAGTACACTCGATCCAGCTAATTTCTGATGTGGCAATGTCTGGGAAAAGAACTGTCCAGTAGAAGAAAAAGGTGACCTGATAGCATAATAACAGTAAAATATTTAAGTTATAAGATAAAAAAGTTGTATTTGAAAACAAAACTTGAGCTTCATGAGCAGATAATCGATTAATCGTCAGTCAAAGGGAGAATGGACAGGCAGAATCACGTATTTCTCACTGTTGATCTATCTTAATTGAAATATTTTTTCAGCTGGTTGTGATCCTTGCTGCTTTACGACTTTACTTACTCAAGGAATGCGCATTAGCTTAAACTCAAAATATATCGATATCTTAATATCTACCGAATTCAATAGAAATATTAAAGGCGAGTAACTGAACTACTCTTGTTGTACAAATACCAACATGTGAAAACATCCTGTCACTTCAATATAAGATCTGAAGAAATGCCTCTGGTTTATCTCAGAGGTATTGGATATTTCGAAGCGCCCAATACAAAGGTGTGGCCTTGCGGCATTTCAAATGGAAAGGGAGGGTCCTTCATGGAAAGATGCTATACTTACATCCCTGCTTGAACGTGATATTATTGAGAAGTCATTTTTTAACGAGATTTTTACACAGTGTTTGTTTGAATTTGCATTTATTTACAATTTCAGACAACTCGAATAAGGACATTGTGTTATACCTCAAGGGGGAAAATAGTCGTCTTGTACGTGAATTAACATTATGCCAACAAGAGAAATCCTCAATACAGCTAGAACTTGAAAAGATGTATTCTTCTTTCCCTTGATATCAAGATTTCCTTTAGAAAGTCTGTCAAATCTTATGACTATGAGCAGAAGGTGTTTCATTTGCAAGAAGAGGTTACCGAATTGCATCGACAGAAAGGGAACGTAAGTTCAAAAGTCTGTTTGCAAAACTTCTAGCTCGCGCAAAATGTTATTGATTTAAATAGAGTTCTTCAGGAAAAAGACACCTTGCTCCAATCAAAGTCCTTGAAGTTGGTTTTACAGTTATATAAGCGAGCTGTTTAGGATTTCGGAGTTAGAGGACTGTCTTAAGGCTAACCAAGTGCAGAATCATCACTTAATGGAAAAGGTTAAGGGACTGGAGGAAACTAAAGAAGTGTGTTGTGTTGGTGTTATGCAACATGTGTTCTCAGTTGCTTACAGATGAACAGGCCTCACATTTAATGACCGCGAAGGCACTAGAAACAAAAAACAGGCAACTTGAGGATGATAATCTGCAACTTATGAAACGAATAAAAGCCCTCCAATCCACTGTCGAAAGGTTGAAAAATATAGAGTATGATGTGCAGTATAGGTAAGTCTAAAATATTAAACATTTCGTAGAAAAACTCAAGAAACAATCCGCAAGAATCTTCAAGATGCAGTCAATTCGACTATATTCGTTACTGATAGGTTTAATTCTGTTGTTTCTTATAACTTTTCAGTGATTGTCCGGACAAACCACTACCCTGTAAATCTGCACTTCCGCGTAACGTTGCAGTCAAAATAGTAAGTTCTTTATCAACATTCTTGTAATTGTCGCTTCTAGGATGCTAATGAAAATGAAGTAAATAGTGTTCGGTTTACTCCATCAGGCCACATTTTCGGATCGGCAGGATTTGATCGTAAACTCCGATTATGGACATATCTAAATGGTACATATTTTTTAATTGTCCAGCGTAGAAGTTTTACAATGTCAAAACGAAACCTTGAATTAGAGGTGTTGTTGTATACTCTGCATTTACTTTGTTCTTGAGTGAATTTCGTATCATATGCGGTATGAAATTTGTAAAGTCGTACCATTCGTATATTTTATAGTGGAATATTTTATTGTGCAAATGTTTTAATACTTTTGAAATTGCTTATTTTTTGAAACTAGGAAAATGTGAAATCCATTCAACCCTTGTTGGTTGTAATGCTGCTGTCACTGCCATAGATTTTGACCCAAATGTGAGTTTATCAATGTAACTGGGATGTATTCTTTTTGATTAAGTTTTATGTGTACATCAAACGCATTTGCAGAGGAATTTATTCCTAGTTTCATTAAATCAGGCATTCAAAAATAGTCGCGGTCATGTTTCATCCATCGAAATATGTGGGCCGTGTAAATACTTTAGATTATTATGTGCCATATAATCATTGTGGACCAACCACCATCGCGTTGTCAAATACGTTCAGTGTTTTATTATTATCACCTGATTTTCCAATTCGCTTAAGTCTCAGTTTATTCTGCTTACATAGGTCTGACAAAGAGACACGAGGACACCTCAGAGACTAATAATTTTTTGTCATTTCATGCCGTTTTAGTATGTCCTGCTTCGTTGTGGGCACCCGGGCAGTATCACAACCCACACACAAATCAAGTGACTTGTATGACGTATATGTATTCTGCTACTCCTTTGTACCAATATTTATGTGTTCAAATAAATAAAATATTTTAATTTATACCTCATAAGAAGGATTATGAAAGAAAAACAGTAACAACAGCTAACTATGCGAAATAAAGTTAATACAAAAAACGGGACAAAATGTGACATCTGTAAAGTAAATCATGGGGTAAATAGTAACTGAATATTCACGTTATAAAGTATCAATCGTCACAACACCCGCTGAATCTCCGTGCGGCATATTCACCATATTTAAGCAATGCTAAAGAAAACCTAATCTCTAAATTTACACACAATCATGTATTTGACATTACGTTTGAACTCGAACACCATTAAAACATTCTCCATTTGACAGATTAAAACGTCCGTTTCCGCTCAACCTCAGTAACGCTAGTTATATGAAATTCCGTTAATTTTGTTTTTTTCTACATTTGATAAATCGTCGCCAAGCGGTATGGATCTGTTCATCAGAGGTTTCTTTCTTTCTCAGTAGCATAAGTACTCGATTTGCAAAAAAAATTTGGTTGTAAAATGTTTCACACTGCTCAATAAGTTTACGTCCGTCTTACCGTTTACTGCCAGTCTTTTTGTTGATCGGTTCTTATCTTTTGAGTTCTGGCTGTTGTAGTTCGCGCATGTCAATATTATATTATCGTCCATTCGGAGCTACTGGCTACATCGAGGTATGTTTTTCATTAGAGCAGTCTTTAGAAAGAAATCAGTGTTCTTGCGAATACTTAGCGATGGTCTAATAAACCAGCGACTTTGAAGGTTTGGATCACAGACTGACTTTAGTCAGACAATTAATATAAACCAGAAAGCATTAGACAGGTGTTTCGTCCTGGTCTAGGACTCCTCACCGATTCACATCCAAAACTCTACGGAGACTCAAAGCCAGGACTTAAAACATTCTTGATGAGGGCCTGATCTTTAAATCATGTAACCCAGTAACCAGTCCGTTACATGTAACTTCAAATTTAAAAATCTCCACAAAACCCTACAATGACCGTCGATTGTTAGTGTAGACCATAGGGGGCATGACAGTACATGATTTGGCTTTGCGCAACAGTATGACTTATCAGTCGAAATCTCTTAAAATTGATTTCGCTGGTGTAAATTCTTTTCTGTATGAATCTTTTGAGCGTTATTGGTCTGAACTCGTGGTTTCACGATTCCTCATTTATTCCACTCTATTTCAGTAAAACTTGACTCTTCTTATCAAACTATCGCATATTGTTAATGGTCCTAATTTATATTTATTAATGTTGAAGCACTTCTTTTCTTTAGTCTAGTTGTGCCTTTCAAGTGTTATTAATTTTGCGTGACATTTTGCGTTACCTAGTATAAGTTTGCAGTCGAAGAATGTTAAATATTTTTGTTTTCATCGTACTAACCCGCTTTGTGTTTTGTTACTTTTCCTGATTTATTTTAGGAAACTGCTGTTTTAGGTGCCTCGAGTGATTTTTCGTGTCGTGTATGGACACTAAATGATTCCAGACTTCGAGTCAATTTGACAGGACATTCTGAGCGTGTTATCTCTGCTAAATTTATGAGGTCTGCTAACCGCGTTGTTACTGCCTCATCAGATAGAACAATCAAGGTGATTTAGAGTGTTTAATGATATCAATGCAATCACTCTTTTCAAAAATAATTTTAATATTAGGTGTTGAATACTTGCTAGAATTCTTATCTTATGGATAATTTTGTTTTATGAACCTAAACAGGTTAAGATGCATTAATGACATAAATTCTCTGTTTGTTAGGCATCATCCTGTATGTGTAGAACTACATGATTATTAATAATAATAATAATAATAATAATGGGTCCACGTAAAAGTGGACCGTAGGTTGAAGCATTTGAGCAAAATCGTTTAGTAAAAATCGTACGAGACATCCCAAGTTTCTGAACTAGGTTAAAACAAGATTTTCTTTGAACTCACTAAAATGACATCAGCTGTATTTTGGAATTGGCTAAGAATGCATTGTCAAGACAGGATACTTAAAATGATATTTTGTTCAAATGTACATTCTATACCACATAGATTTTTATAATATGACACTTAAAAGCATGCTTAACTACTCATTACTCTCATCTAATATGTTGTGCAGCTTCTACTTCGTTTTATGTAATAGTGACTGAATTTCCTTCTGTACTCAATTGATTCTACTTTGGGTAATCTCAGATTTGGGACGTCGACAAGTGCTGTTGTAGGCGTACCATCATGGCTGCCTCCACATTCCAAGATGTAGTTGTTTGTCCCTCCATGTCTGCGCTTGTCACTGGACATTTCGATCAACATTTACGCATTTGGGATGAACGATCTGGAGAAAATACTGGCAAAATCTTGCTCTCCGGGCGTATTACTGGTATGGACATCTCTTCTGGTGAGTGTTTGACTTTTTCCATGATGACTTGTTAAATAATGTCTTGTAGTTTACAATCGATCAAGACTTTAATAAACGCAGTTGTCTCAACTAAGCTTAAACTAGGTGTAATTTTTTATCATGTATTTATACTCTACACGAATCTGTATACTTTTTTGAGCTTACGCGACATAAAGTACAAAAATTCAATACCGTATTTTAAAACGTCCATTTTGAATTACTTTATGGGTTAGTGGTAATCTATCCCTAACTCAATTTCCACACTAGTCTCCATCCTGAATTTCTTGTTTCTGAAGCTACAAATTAACCTTAAGTCCCTAAAATTACATTATATCCCCGGTTTACGAGTAAAAATCAATCCAAAGCCTAGGTCAATCAAACATAATTTACAGAAAACGTCCACATTACAGCATATCACTATGTTATGTCTATCAGTAGAAATATTACTGATAGATTTACTTTATGTACCTTAGAGGATAACAGTTCTTCATCATTCGATGAGCTTTTAATTAGATTATTTGTAAGTCCATAGAAAGTTTCAGCTAATACAAATGCACTACTGTAGAGTTTCATACTAGGACGAAACGGCCGTCCAGTTCTTCCAGGTTTTCAATGGTGGTCTAGCCTAGATCGACCCATGAATTCAACTGTTAAAATTAATATAAATACCGCCAATTCTAACTAGTGCCCCCAAATGCCCTGGTACAGCCGAGAGTGGGGAGAGTCCACTCTCGCTCTCGAAATTCTCTCACATGACCACACGTATATAGCCTCTGTCAGGGAAGTCCTACTCATTGACTTCTTGTGACAAGGGTGTTGTTAACGAAAATGACAGAACGAAAAGTGAATGTCCGGCGCTTTAACTGGGTTGGCGGACATGGAAAGTTCACCTAGGGGAGTTGGGAAACCCTGATTCCAAACCAATGGTGCCCATAGGCTCCAGTATCCTGAAGGAACAAATGGCGTATGAAGCAATCGTCGGTCATGGGTTACCATGGGACTGCATCTCCTCATGATGCTCCACTGCCTTGTGGATCAGACCTTCCGGTAGAAGGCTGCGTGTGTGGCCCCCTAAGAAAACCACCTGCTTCGGTTTGGGCATCCGGGCAGTATCACGGCCCTCACACATATCAAATGAGATTTGTGTGGCGCATATGTGTTTGGTGCCTCCTTGTACCAATATCTATGTGTGAAAATAAATAAATAGATAAATTCTAACTAGTGTTGAATTTAATAACGTATCAAAATATTAATTAAGAGAATCTCCGTTTGCAGTCAGTGAGCGTAACATATTCATTATCTACTCGGCCTTATCACAAAGTTTGGCATAGTGAAGTGGGGGAGGAGAATATACTTCACAAAATGCTAATCCCGTTTTGTGAAGAAACATAGATGATTAATACCCGTATATTCGCGAACAGACCTTCATGAATCGTTCTTTCTTAGTCGATATGTAGACAAATAAATAGTATTTATTTGAACACATAAATATCGGTACAAAGGAACAACAAATACATATGCGCCACACATTTCACTTAATTTGTGTGTGGGATGTGATACTGACGGGATGCCCAGACCGACTCAGGTAGTTTTCCTAGGGGGCCACACCTGGAGCTTTCGATCTAAAGGTCTGATCCATAAGGCAGTGGAGCAGCGTCAGTAGATGCAGTCCCATGGTAGTCACTGACCAATAATTGGTTCATATGCCATCTGTTCACTCAGAATACTGGAGCCCATGTGCACCATTGGTTTGGAATCAGGGTTTCCAACTCCCATAGGTGGACCCTCTGCGTCCATCGATCCGGTTAAAGCGACGGATATTCACTTTTCGTCCTCTGAATTTCGTAAACAACACCCCCTTCACGAGAAAACAGTGAGTGAGACTTCCCTAAGAGTGGCTGTATACGTGTGTCCATGTGAGAGCATTTGGATAAGGAGAGTTGACTCTCCCCACTCTCGGTCGTACTAGAGCAGATAAATAAATAGTTAGAGTGCATACTCAGAGGAATTCACTGAAGCTTGAGCAAAAGTATCTGAAATACCAAACACACCGTTTTATGTTTGCCGAAACAATTCACACAAGGTCAAACAAAGTCTTGGCTTCTCAGAATATGTATGTAAGTATATAAATAATAAATGATTCTACAACAAATAACAGTCAAACATTAAGGAGGAAAATATATTTGTGAAATTTCAAAGATTGAATTTTAAGCAAGTCCAACGTTTCTCTTGGCACTTTGGTTCAAGCTTGTTCAAGGAAATACAATCAAACATCAAAATTTTGGACTATAAATAGGTACATGGTTCTCCGGTTAACTGTTTATTAAACAGGTCATCCAATCATGTTTGCAAAGTTGAAAGTATACATAGAATGAAGATAAATTAAAAAAATAAAAATAAATGAATAAATGCTTGTGCTGTTATGCCACTAAGGTTAATGGTTTACCATATATTTAGATAAATCAACTAATCAGAACAATTGAAAGTAATTGTTATTGTCCAGATAATGAGTGGTAGATTAAATGAAATAAATAGTTCAGGTTTACTTACTAATCATTAGTTGCCATGGCACAACTAATTACATTCCATCTTAATAATACTGTTTGGATTTGCCCACATGTGTATGGCTTTAGCTGTTAGTTTCTTTTTTTAAGACCTGGAACTTCTTTTTAGGATTTATATGCCACTGAAGTCAATTGTATGGCCCAACTCTACTGAGTGTTATGTTATCGCTGACTTTTTTTGAGCTTTTTTATATCATCTAAGAATTTAGAAATGTGTTTCAAGAAAAGTTTGTGTTTCTTCATCCTCACATTCAGTTTTCGTGGTTTCATCTACATATATAGAGTTGGGTCATATAATTGACTGGATGGCCTGTTTAATATACAGTTAACCGGAGAACCATGTACCTATTTATAGTCCAAAATTTTGATGTTTGATTGTATTTCCTTGAACAAGCTTAAACCAAATTGCCAAGAGAAACGTTGGACTTGCTTAAAATTCAATCACTGAGATTTCACAAATATATTTTTCGACCTTAATGTCTTACATTAACATAGTGAAACTATTCGTTCAAATTTAGACGAAATATCTTATGAATAATGGTTAGTTTGTATCAACTCCATATTCAGGGTAATGCATTTAATAAGAACAGTAAAATCTCAACTCATATAGGCACGAAAAATGCTCTTTCAGCGCGGTTGAATAGACAAAATATTTATCAAACTATTAAAAAGTTTACCATTGATTAAGTCAGTAAAGTATAAGACAGGGGTTAAATGTTCGTTACTCATAAGTAATATAGTTATAATATGAAAATTTCACGGCAGTTAGGAAACTGTGAAGTAATAAATAGATTCGTTTTGTCTAATTTACATCACAATACTAATGATTATAATAACGATTCTAGACTCAGACATGATTTCATAGAGTCTCATATCAGGCCATAGCTTCCAGTTGACAAGTATTTAGCGGCTTCAGGCTGTTTTGAAAAAGCAGGACTTCCAAAACAGATATGCTGTTAATTTAATGATTCTCGCTACGGCTAGCATAATATAAACTAATCAAAAATAAAGGGTTTAAAGTCCTGTCTTTTTAAAAATCCTACACCGCTAAGTGTATATTTTATGAATGTTATCCGTTAATGTAGGTTTTTATAGAGTTATTAAAAACCACGCCTCTATTTAAAATTATTATCTTGTGATGCAATTAATATAGTGTCTAAAATATTAGCTTCAGCAATACTCCGATACTTAGCTAAGTCTCATGAAGAGCAGTCTAGTTTCAGACCTTGATGTAGATGGATAGACCAAATATTCACCCTTTTTCAGGTCCTGTAACAAACATTGTTTTCGACTTCCGGCTATAGTTTTATTCCTTGACCTGAAGAGGGCGTGCGACTCCGTTGGTTGTGATGTTCTATGTTAGTGTCTGCCATTGAAAGATATGCCAACGAATGGCATCAACCTTGTACAGGCTTTCTAGTTAGACACTACTGGTCTGTCCAGAACTTACGGTAAACTGTCATCGGAATTGATAACCTGGAGTGGCTTTCGTTAAGACTGTCTGCTTTTTCCATTTTTGTCAAATCTTGTTGTAGACGTCTTTTTAGAGACAATACTTTGATTGCCTGATTTCCGAGAAATCAATCTTCCACTTTGACATTCACTTGTTGACTTCGAATATGCAGATGATATAGTTGTGTTTAGTGAAGACGCTGACGAAATGCAGTCTTCCGACCACTCTAATCAGTAATGCAAGCATGTTTAGGATGCGATTCTCTCTCTCTCCAAATGCAAGTGTTGTTTCAGGACTAGTCTACGTAGATGCTTGAATTAATGGTAGGGAGTGAAATAGTTGATCTTATATATATGCGGTTTATATTTGGCCACTGCGAAGCAGGCAAACGACTGTACTCACTTTCTGTCTTTTGAACTTAGGATTTTTCTCGTAATTCATGTTTTGACATTTAGAATAGATAACTCGACTAATGACTGACCTGTAATTTCACTTCTCTTTTTGAGTCCAATCAGCACTGGTGGATGGGCGTCTTACGAAAGTTCAATTGGCTTTTTCTGACTTACATCGGAGAGATGTCCACCTGCCCACCAGAGGACAAATACACTGCACAATGGTTTGCTCCATTGGTACTTTATGGCTGTAAAACATGGCCATCAAAAGTAGAGAATATTCGTAGGTTAGGGTTGGGGATATTTTGATCGTCTATTTACTGAGATGGTCAGGGCACTTATTAGGTCTGCTCACCCACCGACTACTTCGACTTGCAAGGATAGCTGGTGTAAGAGTGGGTTTAATGGAAGCCAGGAACGTCCAAACCATGAAGATACTGACTGTTATACTGAGCGATGTTAACAGGTGTAGACTACGTGGTTGGGTTCCGTGTGATTATCGTAACCAATGGTCAGCGACTTTGAATGTCGTGACTCAAAATCATTTTTTATGGTGCAGGTGCATCCATTCTTTGTCGTTTCCCGAGATTCTGAATTTTTCATAAATATTTTTGTCTCACTAATTTAGATTTTTTTCTTGAATCTTATTTTAATGGTTGAATTCATGAGTCAATTGAAGCTAGACCACCATGAAAAACCTGAGATCATTTGACGGCCGTTTCGTCCCATTATACGACTCCTCAGTGGTGCGCATACACGATTCCGCCTGCGGGATTCGAATCCAGGACCTATCGGTCGAGCGCGCTAACACTTAACTTCTAGACCACTGAGCCGACATCTAACGGTGTTAATGTCTAACGTCAACCAATTCACGAAATCGCGCCGTCGTCCACCATTGTCTTTAGTGAGTTACCATCTGACAACAGACCTGTCTGAACTCCGCTGTTCACGGCTTCTCACTAGAATTTCAGGAAATACCTCGTGAAGCCAATCACTATTGACCACATAATGATTATCATGAGAAGAAAGTTTTGTGGAGATTTCAGTAATTTAATTTAATTTAATCCATGAGTCAATTGAAGCTGGACCAGCATAAAAAATCTGGAAGAACTGGACGACCGTTTACACTAGTATTTTTAATGATAAAAATTTTTTTTCGATCCATTTTTATTTCAACATTTTAATGTTTTAAAGAATGAAATCAATAAGTCTCATTTAAATATTTCTTTATATACTACGCACGTCCTAAATTTATATTTAACAAATATTAATTATAGATGAATTGAAGGTGGAGAATAATGGTAAACCCTTCCCTGTAAACTTTTGCTCGTAATCTCAAACAATATTATGATAACTAAGTTCATTTAGGTACCAACTTATAAATGGTTATTGGAAGTACTTGTCACTATATTCTCATTAAAGATAAGGTTCAATAAATCCTTGACATGAATACAAACGGATCATTTTGTGCTTATCAAAATATTTCAAAACATGATCTCAAACAACCTTCGACGAATTCAGCTTCACAATTATGTCACAAACAAGATAAAAAATTAATGTTGTTACTTTTATGACAACTGAAAATGCAAGATTTTCAATTAATTCACCCTTTAAACTTTGTAATACTGTATGTGTATGTATGTAAACGCATACATGAAATATATTATTGTACTGCTGTTGTTAAGTTTCTAATGCACATCATAGAAATAGACCAGTAAAGCACTAAGACTAATAGTTTAAATGGGTCTTTTTGATCCATTTCGTTGAATATGTATAAAAAATTAACATGGGCAAATAAATTATCTTCTGAAAGTGGGATTAAATTCTTACTGAATACTTTTGTGTATTCTTTAAAGTAGAAGAGTGCTTTGTTATCAGTTAAAAATATTCCCTTGTTTTTAATTGATGAAAAAGAACCTTACATCTATTTTTTGCATTTTTAGATTTCACAACTGTTTTATCTTGTACACGTAACAACACTTTAGAAATTGTGGATTTACGTATGAATCAAGTTACACAATGCTTGAAAGCTGATGGTTTTCAAACAGGTTTAGATATAGTTCGACCATGCTTCTCACCTGACTCAGATTATGTAGCTGCTGGTGGACATGATGGTGGAGTTTATATTTGGAGCACAGTTTCAGGAAATTTAGAAATTTGTCTCCGTGACCACACGTATGTTTTGATTTCGAAAATTGTCATCTAAAATTAAACATACTTTAAAAAGTTGTGTAATCGCTGCTCAACTGACTTCTTTGTGCAAAGGTTAACGATTTCTTTCTGTTTCCTCTTCATCAGTTCCTTTCTCATCCTTGGGATGCTTGAAGCCTGTTTATTTTATATAAACTACACACTCAAACCTCTTTAATAACGTTAATCAAGTAGGTAGGAAAACAAGTATTATTCCATTATCCGATACAATCGATAGACTTCATTGAAGCCTTCATTTTCTTTCCCCTCAAGGTACAGAATAATCACTTATTCATATTTTATTCTTAGATAGCTCGATATTAAACAAATTCACTCTTATTTAACTGTCAGGTTTTAATCAATATGTTGTTTACAAAGCAATATATCAATAGCTCATATTAATATAAATAAATACAATTGACGACTCATCTCTGAGTATTTTCGTGAGGATACTAAGAATTTGTTTTTTGCGATTCTTCTAGTTTGAAGTTTGAATAAAAATACAATAATAAATGTTTAAATTATGTTATAAAATATAGATGATCGTAACGATTACTGTTTGTGGTGATTGTAAAAACTAAATACGAGGACTAAATGCTCAGAATGAATTTTGTTTGCCATCTGTTTTAAAAAAAATAGAAATATATACTTGAAATGTTTAAGGTACTTTCTTTACTTGTAATCATCATACTTGTAAGACCACGAAAGCTAAATTGGTGGGAATGACAATTCAAATCGTATTGGTGCTCTGGAATCATATACAAAGAATATTGAGTTTGTGTTTTTTGAAAATCACTTCTCATAAGGATGTACGCTTTTAATTTTATAGTTCATTTATCAAGTACATGTATGTGTATATATCAGGCTTTAAGCCACACTTTCAATAAATTTAGTCAGTCAATCAGCTACAACGTAGGACCAGGCACATAGATGTATCGGTCCAAGTTGCCATACCACATTACCACAGCAAGATGAACACCGGATTCATAGAGGTAGTTAAGTCAATGGTGGTAGTGTATAAAAGAAAGATTGCATATAAGGATATAGTACAGGAAGAAAGAATTAGTACGTAGAAAGATATGAAGCGATTTTCATCTCATAGTCAAGCTATCGGTTATATCTACAGTGTCATCTAATATTGCAAATTTACCGTTTCTCTAAATTTAATGTATATGAAATACCGGCATATGTGTATATAATATGATAGTGACTGTCTAAAAAAGTACACTAAAGCGTTTGTCATCTCGAGTATGGCTATTGCGTTAAGTTTATTTCTACGTGAAAAACGTGAATATCAGGAGTATATTACGAACTCCCCAGCATTAAGACTCAAAAGAACACAGCACTACGAAAAAAGTTGGTATTTAGCAAAGAAAAATTCAAATGGAATAGCTTTTTATATATGGTAAAAATCATGACGTTGAGACAGGAGATTACTAAACTGAAGGTTTTAACAATCAGTATTGAAACAGCAAAGGTTATGCGAAAATATGAACTAAAATGTACTTGTGGTTATCTCTACAAGGAAGCACCAACACTTGTTCACAAAACAGAGTAACATAGGACCCTCTTAGCAGTATTTATACCAGATATAGAAAGAAAAAAACTGGACTACTCTTCCATCATTTGAACTTGTCGTTTTGCTTCCAGTTATCTACAATCTACTTAAGTCAAATCTTGATATGGTTGTGCTTTCAATGCATCTTTTTCTTTAAGCTCAACCCATCAACTATCTTTCGTTACTATAAGGAGTGTCTGCACTACTGATTTAAAGGAAGTAAACCCTACTTGTGTAATGTCACTTTTTCGGATGCGTTATCTTAAGCCTCACAATACATTGGGATTTGAGGTGATGTTGAGACTAGCTATGATTCATACTTAACTGGAATGCTCATATGTTTCAATAATGAGACCTCGTTGATTATTCATGTATACTTAAATTTCTTCACATTCATAATACGTATTAAATATATTTTAAATTTTCAACTTTATATTTTAAATTTACATTTCTCATGTGAGTCTGTAAATCTACTATTGCATCATGTCACTCAGTTTACACTTAAATGTTTTATTTCGTTTGTTTTATTTCAGAAATATTGTCGTTTGTTGTCATTGGAATCCGAATGGTAATTCTCTAGTATCATGTGAACGTATTAAGAAAGCAATTGTCTGGTCTAGTTTGTAAAATTCCATTACTATGGTATTTATTTACTTACACATAGTCTTCCAGTAAACATTCTCTTTAATCCGGCTTTACATTAATCTTTTCAATGTTCGTTTGTTTTTGTCATGTTCTTTCTTACCAGATATTTTCCCTTCTCTCTCCTTTCATATTTCCTAATTTAAACACTATTTGTAATTTTTTATTACATATGTGATAATGGTTATAATAGGTTTCATTATATTTATAATTAATTATATCGACTTACGATTTATGTATAGTAATTAATTTATGTATTAATTTACTTCTAATAAAAAAGATAATATTGAGCAAAATGCACTTCTTTTTTGTACCTCTCTAGGTATGAATGTCTGATATTCATACTACTGATTGTTTTCTTCATTATTATGCCGTTACTTTAATTTTTAAAATAGCTAGTCAATGTTTCAACTTCTGTTAATTTAGTCCCATCATGCTAAATTGGTATGACAACTTCAGCTAACACACATTTGTGCTAGTCTCTACATTGATTATGACTGTTTTAGCATCTAAAAGTATACAGCTATTTTTTTCTTGAGGGAAAAGAAACACATTTAGTCTTTTTTGATAATATAAGTTCTATTCATATTTGAACAAGCCACTCAAATTCGACTAATGTATGAAATAATTCTATGAATTGTAATAAAATTAGCATGTACCCTAGTAAAAGTCGTTAACTGTACTTATATACGAGATAGTTAACAGGATGACCGAGTACAAGAAATACAGAATAATCTTTAAGAGCAAGCACCTCAGAATAGTAGGTATTTTTTTAGGGCAAGATAATAAATTAAGAATTGTGGACCAATCTATTCTTCTACTTAGCAATCATTTAAAAAAAAAATTTTTTTTGTAAATCAGATAAAAACCGTAATTCTATCCCTTATATTAAACGTTTATACTACTCTCCTTATGTTATTGACTGTAAGATAAAACAAATGGTTCTTACATATAAACTGAAGCACACTTCAGTCATGTTCACTGAAAAATATTCGTAAACTAATCATCTGAGCCACTTAAAGGTCAACACACATTTCAGTTTGGAATATTCTCCCATCGGCTTTTGTTTGTCAAGCGAACTAGAATATGAAAATGGGTAACCAGTCAAATGCTAAATAAGTAATTTTGGTAAATGAATGCTTGAGAGATTTTCCTTAGATTCAAAAGTAGTGCAATTAGGGTTCGCTGAATAATAATAATAAAGTGATTGTGATAGTTACCCATCGAAACGCATAACCTTCATCTATTTTAACCTAGTCACTTCAACTTTACAATCCAGTTCACTTATCGTAGAAACTCGTAATCAGCCTAAATAAACTAAAAAACTAGGAATTTGTTTTGTTAAATATCGGGCTCGTTGCCTACTACATTTCATGTTTATTTATGAGTTAACAAATCAACGCGTCGGCGATGACCTCCGCTATACTGGTAATCCATTTATTGCTTTCATATAACTTATCAACGAACCTTGAGATGTGGTTTGTTCGGTATATAACTTGACGTAATTTGTCAGTTACATTTCGCCGCTAACTAAACAGGTTACAGCCACAAATTTGAATTTGACGATGATTTGCGATCAATGACCCGTGACACTTATCTTCGTGATAAATTTTTATAGAACTTTGAATTTGACTGATATAGTTGTACACGTTTGTGCTTTGTTATATGACTCACTCCTATAGTCACCGGAAATAATCTTCAATAGTGATGATAAATCGATATCATATGTACAATCGATTACGAATATTTATATGCGCAACCAATCTTCGAATTATTCACGTTAAGTAGCTCTTACTGCAAGAAAATGACTCAAATCTGACATTTTTCAATTAACAGCTTTCCAGCAACCATTCTATCTTCAAAATGGAAGTATATTTAAAAAACCATCTATTCATTTCTCTTAACGATAACAAAAACTTGGAAATGATCATCTTTCGTAAAATCGTTGATAATTCAATATATGTTAGTGTTAAACGTTGTTATTGTTTTAATTAATCTTTTCCACACATTTCCAGCGAGAATGCCTACTGGCGATAAACAACCTGAAAAGCATAAGAAAGAGTCTATAATTGATTTAAACAAGTATATAGATAAAAGAATCCGTGTCAAATTTTCAGGTGGACGGGAAGCTGTTGGTATCTTGAAAGGATGCGATAATTTACAGAATATGGTGATTGATTGTACTACTGAATTTCTTCGTGATCCAGATGATCCTCATCGTTTGACTGAAGATACAAGAGAACTTGCCCTTGTGGTTTGTAGGTTAGTTTTAGTGTTTAGTTTCATAAGAAATTGCTCCAAACTGTTAATCGTCATCTTCTTCTGTTATTCCTACTTAGTATTTAAAAACTATTCTTTGATTACGTTATTTTTTTTTACCGGAAATAAGAATTTCTGCTGCTGTTTAGTTGTTGCTAAACTTAGTGTTTGATCATAAATCGTTAATATTTAAGTGTACTAAATACATCAATACTGACTTACGTTGTGTAACATCAAAACTCTTGAAAAAACTACGGTAATTTATTAAAGTTCAGAAAATATCAAATGATTGCCTTTTTTCAGGTTCACATATACATCTTCAAACTTACTATCCTATATTAATTATTTAACTTGAATCAATAGTTTTCAAAAATGAAGCAGACGAAAGCATAGTTATATTCAGGTCTTGTCACAAAGAATTTCAATTAATGTTCTCTTGAAAACTAGTTAGTTATATTCATTACAATAATTAGATAGCCTTTCTAATGCTAACGAGAATCTCTCTAAAGCTTTCCTGAATTCACTTGATTTTTAAGTGGATATCTTATGTAAAATTATATGCTACAACTATCTTATTAAACTTCACATCAAAAGCCAACCTAATAATGCTGAATCAATATTATTTATAATTAGGAAATTAATGTTACAATGCCTTGTATCATTTGAAAATGATCTCTTGTTGAGTAATTATCGTTTACAGTGTTTAATTGTGTTCGCGTAGTAATTAGATAAAATGTGGTCAAAATGTAAGGAGTCCTAAAGTTCTAATCTGTATTTCGATTTTCATGAAACTACATGTTCTTTAATAATTCAGTTTATTACTGTTATACAATTTTTTTAAAAACTTATTCCTCTGCAGTACTACTCTGTGATGGAATGCATATACAGAAAATTCCTCACTTAAAACTGATCACTTTTTCGGCTTAGCTGACACGCAAAGAGTTATTTTACGTATACTGATTCCAAGGTATATTAATAAAATTAAAGAGTACTGGCGTACGTCATCAAGGTATCTGATACATAGTGCATATAACTTATTAGATATATAAAAAAAGCTATTGCGTTCGAAAATTTTCATGAATTTACAAAGATAATACCGACTGGAAAGTGATTTTGATTTTCATATTGATTCAAAGGATAATTTTTATACTGACCAACTGAACTGTTTATTTTTAGTCATTTTATTGTCTTTTTCGAATCAATTTGCAAGCAGCAGTTTTTTCAAACTTCTATTATTCTGATTGAAATGGGTTTTTACCGGATAAAATTCATGCAACATTAGAAGTTATTTTAAAGCCTAAACTTTTGAATGGACCATGTCATACTTTCTATATAATTACACAAAGAGTTATTATAGTTAATAATCACAATCTCCTCTGACTTTTTTTTATCTCTTACAGGGGTCCATCTGTGGAACTTGTTTGTCCTGCGGATGGAATGGAATCTATACCTAATCCATTTGTTCAACAAGAATGATTCGTAAAAACTTATGTATTTTATATGATATAAATAAATTTGTAAAATATTCCCGCCTTCTCTCATTGTAACTGTACGTCACATAAGCTTCTTCATGTCATCAGCAATTAATTTTTTTACTGAATATCTATATTTAAAAAATACATTATCTTTCTACAAAAGTTATATTTTCCATAGACTTTTGGCGTATGTTGATCTTTCGAGAAAAGGACTATCAGATAGACTTATTAGACCGTGTAGTAAAGAACAAATAGTCAGTATAAATTTTTCCAGGAATATTAAAACTTAAAAGATCAACCAGTTTGTTTCTGACATTTTTTTTTACTAAATCAGGTTTCCTTTTAGTGGGAGAGCCAAATTAATTCTGTAGTCGCAATTGTAATCTTACCTCCGGAAATAGTGGCTAAGTTAGGAACAAATGCCCTCTATATATGACCACATAACAGCTATATAGCTGACTAAATAGAAACTAGCAAGTGTTATAGCATTAAGTTTGAAGCAATAATCTAGCAGAATAAATTGTGTAAATGTTGTTCATATACATTGTGGGAAAAGTCATACTTATTTTTGTGAACTTGAAAGTAGTCCGACAGTATAACGAATGTAAGTAGACGCTTATCAAGGAATGTAAGTGGGAGTCTGTTGTGTTCAACGAAATGTACAGACTCTATAAATCCTTGCAGTAAATTAGTTCAGCTCACAGTTGCTCAATATTTACAGCAGTGCCTAAATAATATAAAGTGTGCGATGTATTCTAAGTCAGGGTTAAAACTTTTAGTGTATTTACTCATATTTACTACTTCTGATGTTTTCTCATTCTTAGGTTCTACCTTACAAAATGTATTCTACATGCTTAAAAATAGTAGCTCCAGTCTTTCAATTAATATGCTTGAATACGATAAAAATTCCATTGAATTTGCCAGCAATGTTTCACCGGTTGGTTCCACGTTTATACTCGCTAATATCATAATTATTAGTTTGCATAATAATGTGATAATTAGAAGTATTCAAACTGATTTTCTAACTAATTCTCGAACTAGTGCGATTTTAGGCAGGTAGAAATAAAGAAGCACAACTTGACATATATTTGGGATTCGTGAAAAACGCGCACTCAAGTACAAAGGAATTACCAATTAGTTCAAATATCACTTTAAGATACGATAAATTAATAAATTTCATAGTGTTAATGGATTCAATAAAAAAAATAATATTGATAAAGTCAGTTGAATCTGTGAAATTAACCTATATAAGCAGACTTGATACTTTTTTGCTAATCTTAATCCATGGTAATATTGTTTTAATGACTGAAAGTACTCATGGTATATGTGAGCATAATTATTCTTGAGAATTTTCCACTAAATGTTCATATAAAGAAAAACTACAAGACAATCAAAAATATCTGTAAGTGAATGAAAATTATTCGAGCAAAATTCGTACTTTAGAACAAGATGGTAATATTTAGCCTGCTCAATTATATTATTATTATGATCAATATTTTCGTTTCATTAATTGAATACCTAAGTAAAACCCGTATGTTAAGGAATTCGGGAGGACTACCAATCATGCTAATCCCAAATAGAATTTGAAAAGGTCATATAACACTGAAAGGGGCGTTTCATTAAGATCACCTTAAATTACCGTCTATCATATAGCCGTAAGCAAGTGTCTTCAGCAGTCTGATGTATTTTTGTGGTGTACTTTCCAACTAGAAACGATATCTACAACAACACTTCCCTATCAAGTAATATACTCAATATGGTAAAAGTGTCGATTCATATTCCTATCATAAAACCTGTAGGATAACCTGCTTACCCAGTGTTTCCACAATACTTGAACGAGATAAGATTGATAAATGTGGAAATTCATCATTTAACACATAGTCATGAATACACGCTTATGTTGTATATCCCCATCAACATTCGGGGAACAAACATCTCTTGTTATCGAGTACCATCAATATGCAATTGACGCCTCACTGTTTTTTAGATTATGCGAATAAGTATTGTTAAGACACCTTTATATTTCAGTCTGAATGCTCAGCTTGCCCAACTCAAGTCATAATATAATCTAGAAGTTTGATAGTTAATCAATACTTCTTTTTGGTACCACGTCTACGTAATTCTCAATTTGTTAAAGTGTTAATCATCTTGATGCATTTAATTGTAGTCTTTAATATTTACCTACAACCCCCATATATCGCAAATTTATCTGATTGTTTAGTTTGCAGCCGCCAGATGGTTACTTCCTCATTGTGTATATTAGTGGTGTCTCTAGCTCACTTGTTCTGGAACCATGCATGGGACTTAGTACTCAGCTTTGTGCAAAGTTTGCACCGTGGTACTGATCTTGGGATGATTAGAATTAGTCGGAGTTTTTTTAACCCTCGGTATACGTACAACACTATTTTGGTGTGAAATAGCACACATTGTTCTTGACCAGTAAGGGATCAGAACCTATGATAGTAAGTTATGTTTCGGACTATTAAAGTGTTTTTGTAATGCTGCTATTGTTAACTGTTACTCCTTATACTGAGTAGCGTCCATAACATTTCAGTTGATATATATAATAGTTATCAAACGTTGTTATGATCTGCATGAGACCTATGAAATAGTTTCCACGAATCCCCATACTAATAGTAATTATGTACTCAATAGTGACTAGTTTCGAGATGGACTTCCTGGAGTTCTAGTGATAAGCCGTGACCAATGGAGTCCAATCTGTGTCGGGTAGAGCAGGTATCTACCTCAGGTAATGGATTAACGGTTTCGTAAGATCATTATTCGATTGAAGTTAGACATTAACACTATTGGATGCCCGCCCAGTGGTCTAGAGATTGAGCGTCCGCGCGCAAAACAGAAAGTCCTGCGTTCGAGTTCCTAAATCGGGATCATGGATGGGCGCTGCTGAGAAATCTCGTACTAGGATGAAACGGCCGTCCAGTGATTCCAAGTTTTCAATGGTGGTCTAAGTTACATCAACGCATGAATTCAACCATTAAAAGCATTGAGTTCGTTTATTATAAGTTATTTTAGAGTTCCATTTGTTAGATTTTTCTTTAAGTGACTAATAAATCCTACTGTAAATAATGATATATTCAGTGAGGACTAAAAGTGGAAAAATATCTGAGTCACAATGGAACACAGTATATTGAGTTATAGTTGGAAAATTTTCACTCAAGTCTAGCTAACAGATTTGATTGCAAATTTAATATCGACCTTATTTCAGTCACTTTGCTAAATATCTTCATTTTCACCTATCTCTACTGAAAATTTACTGGCTCCAAAATTACCATTCGGTAACATT